GGATCGTAGCCCACCACCTGCCCCAAAACATACCACTGCAGCTTCGTCGAAACCAAGGGCTCAAAAGAATGCAGCAAAGCAGAGGGCCGCCGCAAACGAAGAAGCCGCCAATGCTGTCAAAGCTCAGCGAAGTATGGCGCCGCCCACCTATACCTACGAGCACTATGAGATGAGTCATGGGTTTGATGAGGATGAATCTATCGAACAGGCAACACTTGAGTCGTCTTCAATGATCGCAGACGAGGAGATGATGGCAATGTCTCAAAACGGTGCTTACACACGGAAGCGCAAGCGTGGGATAAATGAGGCTCCAGCGATGTCAATTAGAGAACAGGAGCACATACTTTACGGTGATCAACTCTTGGATTACTTCATGACGGTAGGGGATGCTCCAGAAGCCACACGTGTTCCTCCCCCGCAACCACCCGCCAATTTCCAGGTCGATCGTCCCATTGACGACTCGGGCAATACTGCTCTTCATTGGGCATGCGCGATGGGCGACTTGGAGATTGTCAGAGATCTACTGCGGAGAGGGGCGGATATCAAGGCATTGTCGATCCATGAAGAAACGCCACTCGTGCGAGCTGTGCTGTTCACAAATAACTACGAAAAGAAGACCTTTCCGCCTCTGCTAGAACTCCTACTGGACACAGTCTCATTCAGAGACTGGTTCGGCGCTACCATATTTCACCACATAGCAGAAACCACTCGGAGCAAAGGAAAATGGAAGAGCTCGCGATATTACTGTGAAGTATTGCTAGAAAAGTTACGCGTTACCTTTTCGGGTGAGGAGGTTGATGTGTTACTGTCCTGCCAGGATTCGAACGGTGACACTGCTGCTTTGGTTGCCGCTCGGAATGGTGCATTTCGTCTAGTTGACTTACTACTTGTTCGGTGCCCGCGATCTGGTGACCTCTTGAATAAAAAGGGTGAAACAGCTGCAGGCATCGCCCGACGGGCCGCACCTCATGAGCGCGATGTCCCTCTCCCCCCTTCATCCATCACGATGGGTAACGATCAAATGGATGGCGAAGTCATCGCTCCTGTCACATCTGATCATCAACCTACCACCCTTCCGCAGGACTCGTCGCCTGCTACCTCAACCCTACTGTCTAAAATCGGTGTTATCATGGCCGAGGCGAACAAAAAGCTTGCCGTGAGTTACGGTGGCTCCAAAGCAAACCAGCAAGGTTCAGACGACGTTGCGAATCCGGAGGCATTCTACGCGCAACTAGAATCGGATCGACAAAAGATTCAGAAACAAGCAGCTGTATTTGTGGCGAAAGAAGCTGAAGAAGAATCAATCGACACCCAACTTGATCGCTACGAGCAATTGAGAAGTCGCTATGAATCGCTCCTAGAGCAGATCCAACAGGCTCGATTGAAAGAAAGGGTCTCATCAACGCCACTTCCGGAGAAAGAAGGCATAACATCATCTGGTTCTGGTCAGGACAGACTGATTCACACATACCAAATGGCCCGACAGCTGTGCGCTGCTCAAAAGGCTCGGTGCGCGGCTGTCAAGGACCTTGTTCAACAAACGGCGGATGCGGGTGTAAGCACCAAGTTCGATGTCCATCGCAAGCTGGTAGCACTTGCCACAGGCCTCAAAGAGGAAGAATTAGATCCAATGGCCGCAGAATTGGCTGAAACATTGGAATTTGATCGGATGGACGGAAAGGCTGCAGGAGCAGAGTCGCCGGAGCCAGAGCCTAGAGAATCGGCTACGTTCCCTCTTCCTGGCCCAACAGTATCTGTGGATGCATGATCAGGTAAGGAAAATTCTTTCCGCTTATCGATCAGTTGCATCCGCATTTCACCAGTCCGTGATGAAGCGTCGTCGTTATAGGTTACTTGTAAATTATTGCGGACTGAGCATGATATTCCATCATGGCTCTCAGGGTAGCAGAGAGTTCAGTTCCTCTACTTGCCTCTCACCTCTCAATGTTCTGGACACACTGTTCTTTATGATCACTGATGCTTGTTTTCTACTTCTGGCGGGCAATTTGAGATTCCGGCTTGCCAGCAGATACCCACTTAACTTTTTTTTTTTCGTTGCCATTGCATGGACCCGCGCTGTTTCCTGTCTAAAGTTTTCCATGATCGTCCTGTCCCTTCCGAGACAGATCTGAACATAAACAGAAGTCTTACCTAGGCCCAAAGGCTAACGCTCTTGGCTACTAGCCTGTCGATCATCATCGAAGATTAAGATTACCTAATTCTCACTATAGAAAGAAAAAGAAAAGGATCCCGATCATTACTGGGATGTTTCCCACTGCCGCGTCTGAACCTAAGCGGAGCTACTTTTTTTAACCCTTTCAAAACTGAAAGAGTACGGATCATCGGAGTCAGAAACTTGATAAAGTCTGATATTGACGTGAACGATAGAAGAATCTGTGATCATTGATACAGAGGACGAAGCTGAGTCTACGATTCTATAGGAGCATTCCCCAATAGAATAAGAAATATTTCTACAGAGAATTACACGCTCGGCGGTTTACTGTATGCTCAACAGGTACAAGATGCTATTCACCGTCTACCCTCACTTCACCCACGACTGTGAGCAATACATCATTCAGCCACCAAGCGCTTGGCTCTCCCCATAATATTTCCACATTTCCCAGCATATTTGCCATTATACCATGCAGACCGACTTCGGCACGCAGGAAGGCAAAAATTTCCACATCTTTGGGAATTTGTGACTTGCAACCAAGAAGGATCTGGAAAAAGCAATCTCTCGACCAGTTCGACAGGTGGTTTCTACTTCGACCACCACAAGAATTTGGAGTACGCCTGTTCGAGCTTGAAGTCAAGTGCCAGGGCAAGCAAGGACTGCTAGGAAATAAAAACGGTCAGGGCGGCGCAGTGGACAGTCCACACGACGCTGAGGTTTGTGGTAGCAGTGCACACATGTGCGAAGAAGTGTCAAAGGAAAACGGATTGGATGCCTACCGGTTACCGAACTATTCATAGTGGAAATCTTAGTGTGCTGTGGAAAAGGGTTTATGTCTCGGGGTTAGATATCACTCGTTACCCTCGGAGACCCGGTATTTACTTGAACGAGGGCCTCAGTATTTCGGGACGAATGGCTACTCTGATTGAGGTACAGGATGATCGAGGCCGACAAAGTGGTTGAACGGAAGAGGAAGAAGGGCTGTGAGATGGACGAAGCCTGGGGGTACCGTCACTTCTTAATTGCAGCGTCCTGTCCAATCGTGAATTTCAATAGGTGATGCTAAAATGTTGTTCGGAAAGGCTCTATGTTTAACAGCCTTCAACCTAGGGATAATGATCCCATTGAAAATAAGAGACTTGGTGTGTGTGGGTTGCAAAAAGAGAAAAAAGCAAAAAAGAATGGGCCCGAACCGCGATTCGAACGCGGGACCTCCTGCATTTTCTTCCCGAAGCAGGAATCATACCTGATTATGAACTGTTAGAACAGAACGGGAAGATTTCGGATGAATGTAGAACATACCACTAGACCATCCGGGCAGTGTTGTATGAAACGACATCAACTGTATAGACTAATAAAGGGCGCAAGAAAGTAGTTCTCTCTAGGCTAAAAAGGCTAACCCGCAGCACCTTATATCATCCATCTAGTATCTGCAAGTGCATACGGTCCAGTGGTACATAATACAATGACACCATGTCTGACGTGACGATACAGAGGGTTTAGCTTCTTGGGACTGTAGAATATCTCGGATGCCTCAGGAGATGTCTACCCTGCCTACACAGCACCGGAGGCATTCCACCTAGGTTGGTAATCTAGTACATGTCTACGCCTATATAAAGGTGCTTGAGCCTGCGTGTTTAGTTCGTATAATTCATCGTCAGCATCATGATCCGTTTTGAACATCATCAAATCTTTCATCGAGTCCCTAGGGCTGAGCATCCAAAACCCCCGCAAGGTCTATTTTCATCCTATCGTTTATTCATTTATTCGTTTGACCCTGGGATTGTAAATCTTGATGATCATCCGCGCGGGGACATGTGCATGCAAAAGATTTAAGCATCTTTCTCCGTACCGCTCGCCTGATCTTCTTTGCACGATCGAATCTTTAATCTTTGAATTATGTTTGCGTTTAATCAGTTTACTGTCTCCACATAAAATACTGCCATAGTACAATTGATTGTTAAGTGGATAGCTTTATTTGCGAAGCGCGTTAGCGCGAAACAACTCTATTTTAGGTCTCTTCACGTCGTCATGGAGTTTCAGCTTTTGATTATTACATAAATTGAGACTTCTGAATGGTTCTTCTTATTAACAGTAACGTGATCTGATCTAGATATCGCCAGTGATCCCTACTTTCATCCTATGAAGGAGGGGTGAGTCTGGGGAGAGGAGAGCAAGGGCCATCCTAGTATATAGTAGTTTCGGACTATAAATCTGAGCCAGGACTTTACATATATTCAGGTTATAGACTTGAATCAAGTATTATGTTTTTAGATTCTTCATAGGGTCAGTCAAAAAAGTACTTGACGGTGCTCTTTAGAAGCGCTTAACGGGGCTTTTTAAGAAGTGCTTGATAGAGCTCTTTCAGAGCGCTTGACAGGGTCTTTGAGAATTATTTAATGGAACTGTTCACATACTTGATGAAGTCCTTTAGGAGGTGCGTGATGGAGTTCCTTAGAGTGTTTAATACGCCCCTTTAGCCTTTTGGAGGACCTTTGACTAGATGTTTTAAAAACAAGTTATAAGATATTCCCTAGGCTGCAGGTCGTCCACAGGCCAGGACCTAGCTAGTTATTGCCTGCACGGGGTTGAGCCAGAGACAGCTTAAGTGTTTAGCTAACTTGTCCACCGGCTTATCTCCTTTTCTATAGTATTGGGAATTCTATAAGCTGCTAAGTTTACAAAAGGAATCAATACTCGTCCTATCGAGTACTTTAAAGAAACATAGAACCTTGCAATCCCCGCTTCTTGGCTTAGGATAGATACAAAGGGCGGGTTCTGCATCATGACCAACCATCCTTGAAGCACGAAAAAAAAAAAGAAAAGAGGCCCGAACCGCGATTCGAACGCGGGGCCTCTCGCATTTAAGATGTGAATATCCCAAAGCGAGAATCATACCTGAGAGGAGACAAGTTAGTGCGAGGTCTGGAATTTGCAGACGGAGAGAAGACATACCACTAGACCATCCGGGCTGTTAAAGACAAGTTTACGTAATTGTGAACTGTATACGGGGCACGGTTAAACGCTCTCCATGCATTATAAAAGATTTGGTCGATAAGATCATTAACCACCAGGAATCTGAGGGAAATGGTATCTCATGATAGATAGCTACCCATAATGTCTAATGGCTCCCTCAATGGAGGGAATAAGAAAGGGAAAGGGTCAGAAGCATGGGGTATGAGGTAAGAGAAGGACTTCGTGTGGAAGCATGTAGTCAGAATGGAGGGCAGAAACTGGGTCGTTGTCCCCAATTTCCAAAACTTCCCGGTAGGGCGTGACACTGCGCCTCTCGCATTGTCCTCCGAGGGAGGGAAACCTGGGCATATTTTGGCGTAAAAAAATGAGGTTCGTTGGGATTTCAACTCGAGACTCATCTTATGTACAGTACAACACTCAAGAAATTGTACATGGCATCGGAAATGAATGAGTGGATCGCCCAGCATTGCAGTATAGATCCAACGAAGCCAATAAAACAAAAAAGATAAGTGGGCCCGAACCGCGATTCGAACGCGGGACCTCCTGCAGTTTCATATCCCGAAGCAGGAATCATACCTGATTTCCGCTGTTAGAACGGCAAACGTGAAGAATTACTTATATGGAAGAACTCACCACTAGACCATCCGGGCAACTGTTGTCAAGGCCACTGCAGAGTGTGTATCATACACTAAATGATGCCAGCCCATGGATAGGTAAAAAGTTAAGTGGGCCCGAACCGCGATTCGAACGCGGGGCCTCCTGCATGCTCGTATCCCGAAGCAGGAATCATACCTGATGTGAACTGTTAGAGCAGACCACGGGATTATAGCATTGCAGAACAACTTACCACTAGACCATCCGGGCAATTGTTATGTAATCCGTCCTGCAAGCAGACCAAGGTTTCAAACCAACATCTTTACGAGTATCGATATGCACCAAGGGATATTGAAGGTCTTGAAGAAGCAATACCAGTGTACCGCGAGGTGGTTTGAATAATGCCTGCTGAAAATTACCGGGATTTAGCAGAAGCTCGACCGAAACATCCACTGTGGACTTCCAAGGATAAGAACGGTTTTAACAATGCTGTAATCTGACAGATTGGCACACCGATGCCAGTATGGTGGCGCTGCGCAAGGCCTTAACCGAGTGGCGTTTGGCCGGTACCCAGCCCGGTCAGGAGCCGCCACTGCTGCCGGGTTGAGTAATGTGGAATGTGAGGCCGAGATATGCTGCCATGTGAGCCTTCATACTGTGTAGCAGGGAGCCGTTACAGTGGGGGTCACGGTGGTATAAATATAGAACAGATGCGCGGGGAACAGGAAATGCCTACGACGCTGCCTTGGGATATTCAGATGGCTACGATTAGGCGGAGATCAGGATATGCTGGTCCTGATATAATAGTGCTGTTTGGAGTGGGTATGTAGATATATACATATATATCTCTCTCTCTATATAAATCAAGAGCTGACCAATGAAGACGCCAGTTTTCACGACATCCTGAGAATTGATCGAGGTGGCACACCAATACATTCGAAGCTTGAGACACACCCGAAGAAGGACAGGTGTTCTCTGTATATCCGACTGGGTCATTCTATTGATGGGGCAACAACGGGCGTGGGTAATTAACAGCCCCTTCATGATGATCCAGGCCAGCCGCTGCCGGTCTCCGACATGTTCTCTGGACGGGATCGGGAAGCTTGGTGGTCTTCTTAGATAGGCTAAACTTGCTATAGATGGCTATCAGGGGCGTCGTAGTGAGACTCATGTTGTTTTATTTGATTATATTGTGCTCTGCCGTGTTTCCATTTTGACTTACTCCTGGAAGTAAACATACCTCTAGCAGGCAACGTTCTCAGTCTCTTACGTACGGGCAGAATCTAGGTCGAGTTGAGCCGTCTTATTATAGCTTGCCCATAAAGGGGTGCTGCACTGGCATGGATTAATTAGATAAAACTTTTATAGATTTATAGGAAACTTATTTATATTAACCAATGCTGTGACTACTGGCTACTAGCCACAAAAAGAGATGGTTTGAAGGATCTCAATTCCTAGGCTAAGTCTTAGCTAGGGATACAGATGTCAATTCGGAATTCATAAACCGCCCTACTAGTTAATAATTACCTGCCTGTTATTACCTGGCTTGACCGTATGTCAAGCTCAGTCTGATACAAGAATATGTTACTGAGATACTCGGCCATATAGTTATATATAATCTCAGTGCATATGCCATTTTTGATACTTATTCGAATTCCAAAGAACAGAGCCTCGACCGATTCCTGATAACACATGATTAGGTGAATGTCGCGTGATGATCACCCCACCACCTGCCCAAGCTCTAGGTTGTGTGACTTCAGATCGTCGATGTTCACATGCTAAATCAAGGGAAGTGGCCCGGGTGCTTGTAGATTTGGGATCCGTAGGTATTCGTGTACCCGTGTATGTGCCTGGTATTCCGACCGAAATACATGGTCATAACATGGAAGGTTGTGTACTTTGCAAAAGTAAGTGCTTCTTAACGGTCTGGGCTCGGATGGTGATCTACTCCCGACTACCTCTATATCGACTAGCTCCTCCAGTAGTTCTGAGTTTACTGCGCTCGGGATCCTGAAACCATCCAACATATCATCTCCCTATTCCGATGGATTAGCTAGCTGGGCCATGCCATATTTCCAAGACATGCTGCAATCTATTTCTGCGAGGAAGGATGCCTGCTGCAATTAGTTGGCCTGACTACCAGCAGGCGTTGAGCAATCACGGCCCAGCGGATGGCAGGAAAAGGCCCATCCAGTCTCCCGATCCTGGCAGATCCACGGAACATGGCCGACAAACCGGTTCTCTTGGATCGCTTGAGTTCCCCAACGGTACACAGACCTCTAGCAACGTCACCAATGATCTGCGTGTAAAATGAGCTGACTGGTGATCGGATGCGCAGGGCCATCTCTGTCTTCGAATTTTCGTTTGACTCTGGCAGTAGCGCACGGGGGGCGGGACCACCCGTCCCACACATGGAGACGAGATTTTCAAGGGGCTATCTACTTGAAGGTAAACTCGGGAGCCTGCGGGAGTTGAGCGTTCGGTGAGGATAGAGTAGGAGGCCGAGCAAACTGAGACATGGCTTGCTCAAGAGGACTGCAGCCGACGTCCTCCCAGAAAGGTTAACTCGATTCGAGACCGCTATGGTCCCTCCATGGGCAGGGGAACACCCTGGAAAGTCATCTCCAGGCTACATCAGTATGCTTTCGAAAGTCGAATCAGACAGCACGAGGGGGCAACTGAATCTAGTTAAATCGTAGGCGAGAAGGTTCCATTCTGGTGCTTGGCAGCCGAGATAGTTAGCGTTAGTGGCTTTTGGGCGAATCCTTCGAGCCCTGGTCACTCTAGCGATTCCCTCGCTACTAAATTATCAGATGCCAATTCCACTGGTCAGGGGGAAGGCGGAGAATTCTGGCTACAGGATTCGCCCAGTAGCAGGCCCCCTCCGCATGCTGCATCGTGGCTCTTCCACTCTGCAATCATCACGGGTGGATCGGGTGGGGATCTGGAAGACGAAGGAAGGCCAGTCGATGGCAGGATTTCCACGGAAGGTTGTGAGGTACCATAGAGTCGCTGTTCGCAATTGGACAGGCATTGATGCGGGATTTTCTTGTGCAGAAAAAGGTTATCCTACGGGCGAGGTCAGTTAGTCAATTAGACTAGGTACCGAAAGGATCAGATCATCAGACACCGCAGCAGTGAGACTTGGGAAGCAATATGATCCACCACTAGGGTCGATCGTGATGGCCAGTAAATGAAACGGATGGAGGGGCATTCTTGACCGTGATACTGACCGTTTGTTTGACAAGGACGTTGTTTGTCTCAAAGGACCGTGATTGGGAGGGTAGGAAAGCTAGGAGTCCACCGGACCGAGCACGCAGTGGGTGATCTGCACCATGAGAGGGAGCTGGAGGAAGAAGGGAGGGAGGGAGCGAGCGAGCAGCAGTCTTTCGCGCTCCCCCAAATTCCCAAATGCCCGACCGTCTGGAGCCCCACTGGCTCCAGTATTTCGCCGCCTGCGCTTTCGGTTCTCCCTCAATTTGCCCCCCCATACTTAATAATCCGATCATCATCTACTAGTCATTACGACCACTGCTCCGTCACTGCCTCTACTACGACTATCTAACTGATCTCCAGCGATTCGACATCCTCTTCAGATTTCGTCCCCCCTTCACGACCCCCCCAATTGAATCGCCTCAAAACCTCATCCCTGGCATATCACCGCGCACTCCTTTTCAATGCCATACTATTAACGTCCGCAGTCTGGCTCCAATCTCCGGTCGGACTCCTCCGCCCCTCGTTCATCTTCATGTCTCTACCCCACACTCCCTTCTCGTATTCGGCTTCATCTCCCACTCATGGAGATTCATACGTTGGTTTGTGCTCCGGGGAAGCCTCTCCCCCCCGCACAACCCCAGCTTTCGGCATCCGCTGCGCCTGAGAAAAGAAAGCGGGTCCGTCGATGGCATCACCGAGGATTCACAGGCTGTTCGACATGTCGTCGACGCCACGTCCGCTGCGACGAAGCCTCGCCATCATGCAAGAACTGTACGCGCTTGGGTCTCGAATGTGATGGGACCCAGGGTCGTATGACCTTCAAGGTGTATGGACCACCGCAAGCGGATTCGTCTTCCGCCACCGCCAAGAAAGGCGAGAAAAAGATCAAGACCGAGGGCGACAAACAAGTGAAGCAGGAGCCGGTAGGGGATGAGAACGAGCCCATCGAGGCACTAGTTGTGTCTCCGACGACAGTATCCGACGTGAAGCCCATCAAATACCGCTTCCAGGAGCCCATTTCCCCTGCCGAATTTTTGTCGTCGTCCCTGGATTGCGTGGAAGGCCGGTATTACACTCACTTCGTCGACCAAGTCTCCACCTTACTACTCATCTACGATAATTCGAACAACATCAACCCTTACCGAAGATTCTTCCCCGAGCTTGCTCGATCGTCACCATCAATGGC